TGGTATGGAGGTAAACGGAGCACAGTTTTATTTTGACTTGCTGCCATTTCGTCAATGGCGTATTTTTAATATTCCGCCTTGTGATCCTTGACAATTCTTAATAATTGTACTTTCAGCATTGCTTCTTCAAAGTTGATATTTTTCGAGCGGAGCCAATTTTGAACATGAACTTTCCTTGAAGCCGTTGTTGGGACCTTCTCCATTCTTCGAGAATGATAAGGCGCATTATCCAACACAATTACTGCGTTTTCCTCTAAGTTCGGTAAAATTTTGAAAACCACTGTTCAAACGATTCGCCATTCATTTCCTCGTGGTAATCTCCAGTTTTCTTAGACTCAAAGCACCACAGACCGTCAACAACAAATCCATCCTCACTGCCAATATGGCAGATAATGAGCCTTTTCCCTTTACCTGGAAATCGAAGTACTAACTGGTGTAGATTTATTTCAATAAGCGAACCTTTATCAAATGTTTTCATCACATTCAGCGAAAAAACATTGAGACATGAGTATCAGATTGCTATAATTGGGATTATCTAGTCATATTGAAAGAAAGAATATTGAACGTCGTATGATTACTCAGCGCTTCACAATTTAATTTAAAGTTATAAACCTCTAAAAAATGAATGATCAGGACCTGAAATACGCGCAAATATTAATATTAACAAATTATAACTTTATAAAGCTTAAGGTATGAATTAAAATGATTAGAAATATTAGGAACGGTACACAATATAAAACTTAGTAACTTTTTTTAAGTTTATAATATTCGACATATTTTAAGATTATATTAAAAAAATTATTGAAATATCGAAAACACATAAAAACATGGCTTAAAAAAATTCTAACAAATGAAAATGACAATAAAACATCCACGCATCTTATCGAAAGTTATACAAGTTTTGTTACTTGTAATATGTTTTATCTGCCCCCTGGAATTAATGTATAGAACCTTGTTCCCAAGGTTTGAAAAACATCCGATTGTTGTCTATTACTCGTATTTACCTGCTTGATTTTTTAATCCGGTGGACAGTCCATCTAGAAAGGCCCTCCTGGATGAAGTTACAGAATCATCAACCCATACTTTACTTGTAGTGTGTCCTGCGTTTACCCACGTTTCATCAAGGTAATAAATCTTCCTGTTTTGATTTCTATATTTCCCAATTTTTGTTAAATAATCCCTCCTCCATAGCACAATTTCTTCTCTATCCAGTAGTAAACTATTACGACGCATGGAAAGTTAATCGTTTGAAATTTGGCAACGTTGTATCTCCATTTACCTCCTGCAGTACTTTATCTATAGTAGGTATTTCATTCCTAAAGAAGAATTCATGCACTTTCCTCCTAATCGCATGCTTATCAGCTTCATCCAATGATTTAACAATACTTTTGCGATGTTTACTGGTCATTGGCTCAGAAAAGGTGTGATTTTTTTTTTGTATTGTCTTAACACATTAAACACTGATGCGCGACACACCCCAACTTTGTGAGAAACCTTCACAACAATTTCTTTGATGGTTGATGCCTCGTTCTCCTCGCGCTCGATCTTATATATATTCAAAATGACCTCTTTCATTTCTGCACTCAGGTGTCTTTTTTTAGAGCGTTTCCTAGGTGGACTACAGGAGTTTACAACTTCATCGGCAGTATCTGTACATCCGGTCTATCTCTTATCTGAATATACTGTAGCAGTGTTGTGCTCGATGAATTTTGAATTGTGCAAAGATGTTAATAGAAATTGTGCATATTTCTTTAAAAATATGCATATATGTATACTGATTTACTGGCGCAACCGCCAATTTAAAAAAAACTTAAATTTCATGGAACCTTTTTATTGTTTAATGAGAATTTAAGAAAATAATACAATAATAAAAAAATATTTATTTATTAAATTTAACTAAGGCCATCAATTATGAACAATCATCGGGACTCGGATGCGTAACAAATAATTACTGGATTAGTATTTTGTATCTGTCTAACAGTACATTTCACTCGTTCATGCAGCTGCTAAGAAATTCATTGCCAGTTTTGTATAAAAAAATGCACTTTATTTATGGCGATTGTGCATATTTTGTGTGGGGGGTGCATATTGTGCATATGTTCGTAAAATTGTGCATAATATGCACAATTGTGCATGTCGGAACATTCCTGAGTACTAGAGTGGGCGGAACGATAGCTGATTGAAATTAATCAATCGAAAGCGCAGGCTATTTATTGTACCAAAAAACATCCCCAGCCGAGGTTTCCGTAGACGGAACTCGTATTCCATGGACAAATTTTGCCAAGTACCTCGGTGTCATCCTTGATAAAGGCATGACCTGGCAGAAACATATACAGCAGCGTTGAAACAAAATTCCAAATTGCGTTTCGGCAACTATATCCTTTGTTATGTAAATCCTCCAAATTGAGTTTGATAAACAAAGTTCGTAGATATATAAAATGATTATTATTATATAACTTATGTATGTGCGGCTTGGTGTTTTCCTGGCAAGACACACTTGCAGTCTTCAAGTCTCAAATGAGACACTAAACACAGACCTTGATATTCCTTACTTGAGGGAGTATGTTAAGCCTCAGGCTCAGCGACGTTAAGTCAAGTGGAATCGTACAGCAACCCTTTGTTGCGTGACTCACAGTGGAGCAAGTTCGTAAACATTCAAGGCCATGGCTCGCACTCTGATAAAAAATTAGTGCTAACTTTTAGAAATCCAAAATTACACTCTGACAAAACCTAAATCAAAATTTGTTTTTAGTTCACCTTAAAATAAATAAGTGTACCAAGCCAAAAAGCTTAGGAGTTTTTCTCTGTTCTCTTTCCCTTCCTCTTTTTCCTTGACATTTTCTGGTTTCTGGGTAACCAGAATTGACAGATTCGACTAACGTACATTAGACAGTGACTAATGGGCAATGTCCTACAGACCGCCCAGACAAACAAATGACGAATAGTAGATGTTGCGGACCACAGCCTATAATCGTTCGCAGGCCGCGGAAGAACTTTGTATGTCGTAATAAGCATTTATATCCCTCTAATTCCACGCCACGGAATATACTAAATGTCCTTTACACCATATATACAGGGTGCGCCATCTTTTATGTCGGTATGTAAACATTAAATAACTTTAATAAATATGGTCCTTTACAATTTATTGGCACTACTTTTTGAATACAACATCTAACAAGTGGCCATCTTTATTGGCCAAAATAAAATGTGCCCGTTTTGCTGCGTTTTCCATTACTTGAGTTCTTCAGTGGTCTGGGGCTTGCTGGCGTACACTGGACTTTTCAAATAACCCCACAAGAAGAAGTCCGGTGGGGTCAAATCTGGAGACCTGGGTGGCCAGTCAATGTCACCTACTTTTTAACATCAGACGTCCAGGGAATTTTGGTTGCAGACACTGGATTGTTTCTTTTGCAGTGTGGTATGGCGCACCGTTTTGTTGAAACCAGTAACCATTAAGACCTGTTTCACGCATTTATGGGCAGACATAATGAGTAAACATCCACCGATATCGATTTCCATCGACTGTTTCATTTTCGTTGAAGAAAAATGGCCCAATGATGGTTTTGGCGCAAACGCCGGCCCAAACAGTCACTTTCCGGTCATGCAACGGCATTTCGTGGATCTCATGTGGATTTTCCGTCCGCCAAATGGGCCTGGTCGCTCATCACAATTTGCTTCCAAAAATCAGGTTCATCATCAACCATGCGAGCGACTGTTTGGGCGTATTCCAAGCGATGTGGACGGTCAGTTGGTAATATTTTTTGTGTTAACTGCACCTTATAAGCAAACACATGCAAATCATCCTTCAAAATGCGCCGCAACGTGGTTCAACTGATGCCAAAATGCTGAGCGCGGTGATGGGTTTTGGGCAACTCTGTCTCTGACCGCTTCAACCAATTCATTGGAACGTCTTGGTCGTTGATGAACGGTACGTTGACGATCTCCCACTGTCCCGTACTCAAGAAAATTCGAAACCAAACGACGGATAGTGTTGTCAGGCGGTGCCTGTTTGCCACGATATTTTCGACGATATGTACGTTCCGTTAACACAACTGAACGACGATTTTCAATGTACATTGTGACTATTTCGGCGCGTTGTTCCAGTGTTAAGCGATTTATGACTAAAATTGTAGTAAATTTTCAGAAACACGTATAACCAAATCACTCGATTGTTAAATATCAAACTCATTCGATGTTTCAATACAGACATAAAAGATGGCGCACCAGATACGTAAATAACTATTGGCATTTCATTCAGCCAGAGGAATCGTTCTTCCTGAACTAGTTCATTTGAGATGTGTTCATTCAACCCAGCCCATCTCTAACTGGAAAAGAAAATTTTTGTCTTGACATTTACAGTTGTGATCAGTGTAACCAGATCTCCTGTTTTAACAGAAGATCTACTGTTTTTACCTCGATGCTACTGAGCTTCTGTTCTCACTAAAAAATCTGTTATTACGACAATACCTTTTTATACTTCTCACCTGTCACTCCTAGAAAAGGGTGTCAGTTTTTGAATAGTGATTATTGACTGATCTGTATGAAAGTCGAAGGTTTATTTTTCAATTCCTACTAGATATTAGCTCATTTTTGATCGTTAATAAAATAGCACAATAATTCGACTACTTAATTTAATTAATTCAAGATAATTTGCTGAAAACAAAACAGCGAAATAGGTTATCTACTTATAGCATTGTAGGGCTACTTCATGGCAAAACCTTCTTGAGACCTAAGAACCAATCGTACCAAAGTTTATTTTTATTATTGTACTTTTTCATTTGGAAAAATTAGTGTTTTATCGCCAAAGTTTATTTTTATATATTATTTTTTGGCTGCCTTTATGTGATATTATAAGTTTTCGATGAAAGAACGTGATATTAATTTACTTACAAGTATGTTTTATTTAGTTTTCTTTGTGTTTATAAAGTTTTATTAAAAAATCTACATATTTATTAAAATCTACTGTTGGGATAGGCACATGTCTTTTTTAGTCCTGAAGGAAATATTCATCTGGCAACACTGGTTGTGATGCAGTTACAGAACAAATAATACTGGGATGCTGCCATGCAGCCTTTATTTTCCTCCTGGAAGGTTTTATCTGTTTGTATTGTTGTGATCGGCTTTGCTTTTGTCTGTTTTTGTATACTGCTGTGGATGTGCGTTGTGATGACCATTGCTTACCTTACTCACAGAACAATAATACCTACAAAACCAACAGAGTCTTATGTCTAACGTAAAAACTGATATTCATATAAAACTGCAAACATAAGATAAAAGACAGGACAGTAACCAACATTATGGTTGAAGAAATTGTGAACACCAGTAACTCAAAGGTTTGCTTACAGTTTTGATCTTTGTGTATTATACCATATCATACTAGAATCATTTTTGGCCTGACAAAATTCTCTGCTGGAAAATTGATATTTACTACTTTAGAACTATGAAAAATTGATTCAATCTGTCTGAAAACACGAATTCTATAAAAAAAACACATTTTTACTGTATATGATACATTGCAATCAACAAAGAGCTTCAAACAGAATTATAGCATATTTGCTTGCTTCACAGACAAAGGCAACAAACAATAGACCAAAATCTGTATACTCGTGGAATGTAACAGATGTTCAGAAATGGCTAAGAAGGCACTGCAGTGATTACTACCAGTTGTATGCAGAGAATTTTATCCAGCATGACATAACAGGTCGCACACTGTTGAGGATGAATGACAACTCACTTTTGAGACTGGGGATAACGAATGATGTCCACAGGGAGGCGATTTGGAGGCAAATTTTAAAATTGCGCTTGAAGACTGATATTATGGAGATAAGGGATATGCAAAGGAGGAACACAAACAATATGTTTTATGATTATTCTATTGCTTGAATTATGAAAATTATAACTTTAATTCTATCTTATAATGTTACATAAGTTGTTAAAGCTTTAATATGGAATAAGCAGTAAAATAAATGACACTATATATTATGAGATAAGATTTGCTGTAGACAAAAAATACTATATTAATATCTTATACAGCTTAGTAGAGTATATTTCAACAGTTGTTTATGGGTGGCAATGTTTGCTTTACTTGTAGTAATTGCTGTATATTTATTCTAATGCATATAAGAGAACAAAAATAGCTCAAATGGTAATCAAAATAAATCATCAAAAACTACTATTCTATTGTGGTTAATGTGTAGGTTTAGCTGGTTGTTGAACTCTTGGTCCAGCATATTTAGCATTTGATCACAAGTCTTCTCTTTTTGATGCATTAGTTTTTCCCAGTAATTTTTGTCAGTAGGTTAGACCTATTTATAAGGCAAATAGTCAAGAGTGTCATGTCTCTTTTAGGAATATATGTAGAACTCCAATGAACTGTATTGGTTCATTCATAAGATAGAAATTTTTCACAAATAAATCACTATGCCCAAAGACTTATCATGTACCCAAAGGACGAACAAAGAAGTTTGGGAATATTTTATTTATATATTGGATTGAACCATTGAGGAAGATTCCAGTTCAAGTTTAAAAAAAAATATACTTAAAAAATAAGTTTTTGTTCTTCCTGAAGCTTCCACTGTTTTAAAATTATGTATTATTAAATATGATTATTCAGATGTATTTTCATGTTTTCCTTATCCTGTTATTTATGAAACCTGAATTATATCATTTGCAAAACTTTTACATGGGGCAAATAAACATTAAAGTATATTGTTCAAAAATGCTTTAATTATCATCATTAGACACTGTAACATCTTTATGTAACTGTTTCTCTGCTGCATCAAAAATTTTCATTAAATATATAACTTCTTTAGATTTCTTGCAATTTATCCACACTTTGCCATTAACACCCAATGCCATTTCATAAGGTATTTTTTTCCTATACTCCTGAGTAATGGATTTTCAATATCCAAAAGGCTCTGTGTTAAAGGAAGGCTGATGTTTAACAAAAATCCTTCGTTTGGTAATATTCCTAACTTTCCTGCTTTGAAGTAAGAGTCAATACACACAAGTTCTGGCTCCATTTCACGATGAGCATTTAACAGTCTAGCATAAACACAATCTCCGACTTGTACATCAGGTTTCTGTTTCTTGGTAGCACCTTCGAAGGCCAGCATTGACAGTGAAGCAAATTCAGCAGCACCAATGTCTACTTTAAGAGAATCGCCAGCTTTTTTTACTACAATTCCTAATACTAAGTCCTCCCTTCTTAGGAATGTACCGTTTTCTTTTGCCTTCTATCCAATACATATTTGGTGCCCGGAATCGTAATATGCCTGGTTGAGTTACACATAGGATGTTTGGATTTTCTTCGTTCTGTCGTAATCCTGGTCCTAATATGGCAAGGCCCTTGATGGATTTGATTTCATCTAGTAGATCACCGGGCAGTACAAAATCACCCGATTTTAATGGCATTTTCTGTTACAAATCAACCTATTAAAATGTATGTAAACATCGCATCACAATAATCGTGCCTAATAAGTTGGGTTAAGGTTTTGACACATTTTTGACAATACATGCTGGGGATGGGAGATAAAAAAAGATTCGATAGGTTATGACTTTCAGAAATATGTACTATCTGGGTAACAGCGGAGCATAAGGGACGGTATTTTAGGATTATTACTTTTCCCACATTATAATCGTTAAAATCGATATGAAGTCACGCTATTCATATCCGTTGATCGTCTAATTGTCTTGCATTCTAGACAATGAAAGCGTTTTATCGTCGGTTTACCGCAATCAGTAGCGAAGATTTTTCTTTCTTTGTCGCTCTAGAGTGATTAGTTAATCAATTTATTTTTTTCTATTGGCATTTATCCTAGCATGCTCAAAATGACAAAACACTTTAGCAGAATCTATACTCAGTTATGGTATTTGTATTTTGATGCTACGCTCAAGACTGTTCTCAATTCACTTGTTATCTCACAGAAAGCATTGTCTATTCAAGATATGTTAAAATGTATCCTACCCTTGGTTTGTTCAGAGAAGCGGTTGAGCTACAAATCTCAGAGATACAGAGAACACCAAATTTGGCTGACGGCTTGAGTTTAATGTGTACGTGAGAGATGCGCGATAAGTGTGTTAGAAAGAGATAAGATAGAGGCCGGTTGGCCAGCGAAGCTCATCATCATCCCGCTCCATTCACTACTGGATCTCGCAAAAAATCTTTACAAAAGGAGTTCTGTACGAACACCTAATTTAATATTTTGTTTTCATTTTGATTATAATTAGTTATCTTTGATTTCCACCGAATGGTGATAAAATCAACACATCCTGTGTTATTGTTACATTTTGCGACAGCGAGCGGTCCGACACTTTCCAATGAGATGGAGATACGTGCAGACCAAAATCGCTCATATATGATCAAGGAGGTGGAAACCTTGCCCTGGAATGTACAAGATGCGATGTTGTCAAGCGAACCAATGTTGCAGAATTTGCGGCGATTCTGACCTTTCATTTCGTCCTAAAATGGAGCGTCGTTGGGACCGATCCGGAATCGATCCCAAACCAATTCATGTGTATGCTCAAAATAAAACCATTATTTCGACGTAGAGAAACAACTAACCCATATATTCAAAATGCATCTTAATTCAAGAAACTGGTGTAACATATTGGCAAAGCGCTTAGATTCCTGCGTCAGCGTTGCTTGTCAATGCGGTGTTGAGCTTCGCTATCCAGTCGGCTTCTATCGCTTTCTAACATACAGGGTGTCCGCAAAGTTGGGGTTTTCCTTTACACGACGTGTAGATCTTGCAAACATATGCAATTTTTCTCAGTACCATATACACCAATGTCTTAAGGGAACCGAGATAAAGGGCTCTGCAACATCAAAAATATCTGAATACCGTCCTGTAGTACAAGGTCACTGGCTCAACCCGACGACAGAACTGGGTCGGGGTCAGTGTGTCAGGTTAGTATGCAACCTTCAACCGACGGTTACGGTCACGCGTCTAGAGGTAATCGCGTAGACGAGAATCCCTCAACAAGCACTAGAGAAGTGCAAGTATCAAAAACTGAAGTGTGGCAAACCCTGCGTGAAGAGGGGCTGTATCCGTCTCACGTCCAACGTGTACAAGCCCTTCAACCTGACGATTTTCCAGCAAGAGTGCGGTTTTGTGAGTGGTTGTTGCATCAACATGACAATAATCCGGACTTTTTTAAGTATATATTGGTGACAGACGAATCTACGTTCACGCGTAATGGGGTGAATAACTTTCGCAACACTCATGTTTGGTCAGTAGAAAATCCGCACGCCGTCCGTCGGGCACATTTTCAACAAACATTTTCGGTGAATGTTTGGGCTCACATGGTGAACGGTATGCTCATTGGACCATTTATTCTCCCAAATCGATTGGACGGGATGCAATACCTAGACTTTTTACGCAACATTTTGCCTTCCTTGTTTGCCTGCGTCTGCTCGGTAGCGCATCAGCTGATTTCATTTTCTGTTGGACCGGTATGATTTTGGGCAGAGACGTACTTAGCCCTTCTCGTCAACTGGAGAGTGAGTACTTTTTCCTTTATTTTTTTTTACTTGGTCGCCCTCGTTTCACTACACATTACCTTTGTTATTTCAAGGGTAGTTGTTTCTGAAAAGGAAAACCCCAACTTTGCGGACACCCTGTATGTGCCTATCTGCCTATACACACTTGTCTCTCGTGCACATTGAACTCAAGCCGACAGGACAAATTTGGTTGAGGGAACATTTTTACGTATTATTATCATTAGCACTTTCATCTAAATCGTATATTTCGACTTTCGCCCTGGGTTTTTGAGTTAAAGAGTTTTTTTGAACATTTCGATAATACATAAATTATCCTAAAAGATTATGTTTTTTACCTAGACGTTTTCGATAACGCTGCTATTTTTTTACACTTGTATAAAAGAAAATGTATGTGAAATGTCTGCGTGGGAGGGAACTCGTTCAAATCCTCCTTTCCTTTCTAAAACCCCTAAAAATAATCAGTCTCCAGAAACATCCTGTGAATATGCGAGTCTTGGTGTCCCGTGATTCGAATCATCGGAATGATTCGATTTTCGTGGATTTGAAGTTTGAAGGGAAAGTTGTTTTGAGGTTATTTCAGATTTTGGCTACGTTTCGTTTGTTTTTACATTTCTTTTTATTTTATACGGTAATTAGATTTCAAAAATCTCCCACTTATCTAGACTGATTTGATAACGTGTTTTGTTTGGCTGCTGTTTTGATCAAAGTTTTGGGTCAAAGTCCAGTTGTTAAACAGTGAACATTAGACCACCCAAAATTCTGTTCACTCTACACTTCTACGGTGCCTTCAGATTCCAGCCGCTGGAAAATTAAAAATAATTAAATTATAAAAATGGCTTTGTGCACAGCAAGAAACTTTGTAAAAAGCCCATACGCTTTGGGAAAAGCTCAGCAACAATTGGGTAAGTCAAAAATATATAAATGAAAGGTGATATTCTTCTAACAGGACAAAGTTCAACTGAATTTATGTAATATTTGAAGGTGTCTTAAGGGCCTTTTCCATCGGAAACCAAACCAATCAGACGAAGACCCTAGCACCAAAAACTGGAAAAAATATTGTTTTGCTAGATGGAGTGAGAACCCCATTTTTGATGTCAGGGACCGACTACTCTAAGCTGATGCCACATGACTTGGCTAAATTTGCTCTAAGGTATATTTTTTTTATTCAACCTCGTAACCACACCCATTAAACCATTAAAATAACAGCACCTTGGAATACAGCTTCACCCAAATAAGAAAGACTCCAACTGAGGTATCTATCATAGTAATACTAATAATCAAAAATGCCACGCCACATTTTGCTTTTGACTAATCTGCCAAGAGCAGCTAGAACTTAGCTGTAAAATTGCTTCAAAAATTCTCATCCCACAAACCAAATGTCAGTTAATATTTATACAAAATTGATCTGTAAAGAAAGGTATGTCTTAGTTGGTAGTTAACATGTCAAAAATGTTGTGATGGCTGCTTTCCAGTCTATTAGAAAACCCACAGGTAGTTTTTTGGTCGTCAAGAGCCAAAGTCCTATTGTGTACTCTAAACATAATTATCCCTTACTTTCATCAAATCTTAGGTGCCCCATTGATATTAAGGTATTATGGTACAAAGTTTGTAAGCATAGCACGCAGTTTGTATGTTATTAGAAGTTATTATGTTATCCATATTGTTATTGTATTATAGCAATTAATACAGCATTGAGTCAATTGTAAAGTATTGCGCATTTGAATCATGAATCAATCTGCCATGTGTTATGCAGTATGTGAAATTAGGTAACAAAAAGCCCCATATTTTGGTTAATGAGTTTTTGAACAGCAACATTTTTATAGTTGCTTCATTCATGTCTTTTCTTGTATACTTTATAAGGATGTTGATAATATTTGTTTGCAGCAACACTTGTGGAAATTGGATACAACATTTATAGTTAGGGGAATCAATTTAGTGTAGTGCTCCATCAATTAAGAAGCTTCCTGTAATCAAAAATACTGCTAGTATCACTTGCTTAAAATAGTATAACTAGTTTCTTTGACAAATCTGAAAGAATTATTCATCCTTAGTGCTCTAGGTGACCAGTCACAGTATATTGTTTTTATTGCCCTTGCTTATTTTATCTGATTCAATAACCCTTGAACCCATAATTTTTTTTATAGAACTGACTGTTAAGGAATTTGCTAATGTGTAATATCGTTCAATCAAAATTTGATACAACAGTTGCTATTTGTATCCATGTTTTGTGATCATAAAAACATTCTTTATCATTTTAATTGTCTATCTCAATGTATTTATTGTTGACACTTGTATGTAGATGAACTTATTCATTAGACATTATCAGTTTTATTTTTCCATGCAAATAAATATTACGTAGTCGTGCCATAAGTTCTGTCCCATGATAATCTCATGATAAAAATGAAACAAGATAAGATATATTTATATGAAAGATATTATTTATTCGACAACATTTTTAGAATTCATAATCAAACAGTTTTATTCAAAATGTCCCCCCTTGGCCTTCACACACTGCTTCAATCTCGCGGGCCACTCATCTATCACTGCACGCACAGCTTCCAAAGGAATAGCTGCCGCTGATCGGATCAAATCCGCTTTCAGGGACTCGATATTACGGTGGGCTTTGGAGCAGGCCAACTGCTCTAGCAGGTCCCACAACTTGTAGTCTAAAGGATTGAGGTCCGGACTCCCTGAGGGTCAATCTTCCGCAGCAATGAACTCTGGCACATTGCTTTCCAGCCAGCGCTGCGTACTCTTAGCCTTGTGAGCGGGGGCGGAATCCTGCTGGTAGACCCAGTGTTGGTTGGCAAACAATGTACCACTTAAAGGCTTGACGATAGGATCCAGTATGTCGCTCTGATAGTTTGCCGCTTTTGTTTTCACGCCCTGTTTACAGAAATGGAGCTGAGTGACCCCTTCGTAGGACACCCCCCACCAAACCATGACTGACGCAGGGTGGTGGCCTCTCTCAACTCTCGGAATGATCTCCGAAGCTTCCTGTGAACTCCTTGCATACACTTTGTCATTTTGTCGGTTGAATTTTTCTTCTATGGTGAAGATTTTCTCATCCGTGAACAAAATCTTTCGGAATCCCCCAGCTGCGTACCTCTCCAAGAGCTTCTTGGATCTTGTCGCCCTGATGTGTCGCAAGGTGGCCGTAAGTCGCTGGCCCGTACGTCTCCGGTAAGCCCCTAGCCCTAGGTCTTGTTTAATGATGCGCGACATCGTCCGGACAGGAATCTTCATTTCCCTGGATAGGATCTTCTGCTTCCGGAGTGGATTCCTTTGAATCCTGGCTTTTACGGCTTTGATGGCTGCTGGAGTCCTTACTTGACGAGGTCTTCCGCTTCTTGGCCTGTCATCAACAGAGGACGTCTCATTGTACCGCTGAATGGTCCTAGACACAAATTTACGCGATATTTGAAGGCCGCGTAAGAGTTCAAAAATCTGACTAGCACTGTGATTACACTTATGTAAAGCTATCACTGCAATACGGTTCTCTGCCTTGCCCCACTCCATCGTTATGCTTCGAGAGATCAATACAAACTGAGGTACATGTAATTACCCGAAAAGCGCTTAATCAACTGACACCACAATGTAAACAATCGGACAAGTATTAACAGGTCTACACTTGTTTGAAAACGAGGGACAGAACTTATGGCATGACTATGTATATAATTATCTTCTCAATTTGATAGAAAATATGGTTTCTAGACATCTTGGTGATAAGCAAGTAAATGTTTTGTCTAAACAGAAATGACGTGTATTTTTTTTGTCATGTACTTTTGTCAACTTCAAAACATACCAAAATGTCAGGCTCATATTTTTGTGTATATTTTTCTAATTTTTACATTTCTTTTTCTGATTATTACTAATATTATTATTATGTCATGTCACATTCTTGCGAGTCTTTGGTAGTTTGTGAACAATTTTGAGCCATAATTCCACATGTTTTTTTTTAAACAATCCTCGTATTATTGAAAAAAACTGCGACCGAAACTTAGTGATATCAGGTAACCAAATAAGTTCGTGCGGTTGCCGTATATCGCACATTGACATGGTTGTTGTTGATCGATAGCGATTGTTTGTTACCTGTTGTCACTTTACTATGAATCCTTCTTCTCTCGCACACATAAAAAAGCTGCTGAAAATTGTTACATACCTAGTTTTAATATTTGAAAATGGCGACGAATAAAACAGTAATTCGAAGTTGTTTACTGTGTGAGTACAAAAGCTGCAGCGGCGGCGCGAAAAATATGTACCGCATTCGGAGATGATGCCGTTAGTGATCGAACAGCACAGAAGTGGTGAAAAAAATTATCTTTGGTAAATCTCAGTTTGAACGATGATCCGCGCTCAGGGAGACCAAAAATCATGAACAACGAGGATCTTCGACAGGTTGTGGACACAAATTCCAGGACGACGTGTCAAGAACTTGCAGAAATGTTCAGAATGAGTCCTGAAACTATTCGTTTGCATCTTCATCAGCTAGGAAAGACGTGGATATTAAGGAAATGGCTCCCACATAAACTGACAAATGATAACAAATTAAGTCTTTTTTGTTCAGCTAACATTTTACGCAACGCTAATGAACCATTTCTTAATCGGTTATTAACCTGCGACGAAAAATGGATATTGTATTCGAATTCTAAGCGTTCGTATCATTGGTTGTCGCCTACTGATTCGGTACCACACACGCTCAGTGATTATCACCATTTTTTGGTGTCTTGACAACTGCATGAGGCACCGACAGTTCACAACTCGAGATGGTGTACTAAATGCGGTCGAGCTAACCCCCCTCCCCAATTTTGCCCCTTTTTCCCGAAATTTGACTCGTTCGCACACGCGCCGCGGAAGCACGTTGTGGACGTTTCTTCCAACTGTCGGTTCTCGACTTTTATGGACGGCCTCTTGCTTGGGGGTCCTGCGCTGGGGGCTTTGACTCCACGTTGACAAAAGGTCATTGAATGTGATGGTAATTACTTCGACAAATAAATAATGTCTTATTGTTTCTCAATAAAAATTTATATTTTTCTACTAAAAACCACACGAACTTATTTGGTTACCTGATATTTTGAGTTTATATAATAAAAATTCTTTGATAATGAACAAATTCTGGATTGTGGCACGTTTTTTGAACATCATAAACGTTATCAATCTTTGTATGTAGATCTATATTTTTTGTTATGGATGGTACTATTGATGATGTTCTCCCGATTTATTATAGTGGCATTTTGAAAAAGACTGGTGTTCCCAAAGAAATGATCGATTATATAACCTATGGAACCGTTATCCAAGAAGTCAAAACTTCAAACATTGCCAGAGAGGCTTCACTTGCCGCGGGTTATAGTGACAAAACGCCTTCACATACTGTGACAATGGCTTGCATTTCATCTAACGTTGCCATTACATCAGGTAAGCAGATCTTCAACGACGAATCGAAATCAGTTTATTGGTGTTTCTATCTTATGACTCACACAGGAATGGCCACTCTTAGTCAAGAACTGTTTTTTTTTTGATATTTCCTCTAAGAGTTTTGCTGACAAAAGGGAAGCGTAGCTGATAAATGTAAAAAGTCTGCTTACACAATAGTTGAACAAAAGGCACGACCATCGTGCATGCCTAAACAAAATCGAGACTCGTTACTAAAGACAATACTGTTCCATTCCTGATCCCAGAGTGACCGTTGTCTGCACCACTCAAGGCGATTACGTCGGTGTAAGGGTTAGAAGGCGACGTGGTGAAAGGAGGAATCCACAGTTTTTTGTTGAAAGACATGTTCATCACACTGTTGGAGTTATGGTTTGAGGTGCTATAGCTTATGGTTCCAGGTCACCTTTAATCTTCATCACAAAGTTCTAGAACCCCATCTTTTACCCTATCTTGACACCCTGGCAGATCCAACTTTCCAACAAGATAATGCCCGACCACATGTTGCAAGAGTCACAATAGACTTCTTTCAACATAATGATATCACATTGTTACCATGGCCACCAAGATCTCCCGACTTATCCCCAATTGAGCACGTGTGGGATATGATGGGTAGGAGATTGCTCAATTTGCAACGTCCTCCTCAGACTCTAGAAGCACTTCGAGAGGAGTTTTGGTGGTTGCCTGGAATGAGATACCACAGGAGGACATTGACCACCTGATCAGAAGCATGTCTAGGCGCGTTGGAGAATGCGTAGCACATCAGGGTGCATCCACACATTATCAAAGGTCAAAGGGCTTTAAAGCAGTGCAATCATTTTGAAATTTTTATCATTTACTTATTATGCTTCATTAAGTACTTATACAAAATTTTATTAAAATAAAACCATTTAAACTGGGTGTTCGGATTTATATGTCACTTAGTATAGTATTGCTTTGAGAACAAGGACAACTATACAATTTTTCGAATTTCCTTGTCTGCTTCCAATGGTTAATCACCAATCCATACTATTGATAAAAAATATTTCTTATGCCGTTATTTTTTTTAGCTATCGGTTTAATCAACAGTGGAGTCTATGATATGATCGTATGTGGAGGTGTAGAATTTATGTCCGACATTCCGATCAGGCACAGTCGTAAAATGCGCAGCTTGATGTTGAGAGCCAACAAAGCTAAAACTGCTGGCCAAAAACTCGCTCTCTTGGCGTCTATCAGACCTGATTTCTTTGTTCCTGAGTTGCCTGCTGTTGCCGAATTTTCTTCTGGAGAAACTATGGGACACTCGGCTGATAGGTAATTCTGTTTTAGGGTTTAAAAGTACCATTTCCGCGATATATTATTAACATATCAAATTTGATATAAAATACTATTCATCCATTGGATGAAGGTCTAATTGTAAAACATTCAAATTCAAAATATGACTCCCACTACAGGTTAGCAGCAGCATTTGGTGCAACAAGGAAGGAACAAGACGAGTTTGCAGTCAGGTCGCACACGTTGGCCAAACAGGCACAGGACAAAGGATATTTGACAGATTTGATTCCGGTCCAAGTTCCTGGATCAACCAAGCCGATCACACATGATAACGGTGTTCGAGTATCTCCCATCGAGAAAATGGCCACTTTGAAACCCGCTTTTATCAAACCTCATGGTACAGTGACAGCAGCAAACTCTTCCTTCCTCGTAAGTAAAATAAAAAATATAAACAGGTTTTTATAAAAAGATGATCTTGATAATATCTTGGTGCATATTTTTCTTTCAAAACGAAACACGAAATTTTGGTATTTCAAAAGTTAAGCCGCGGTTATACTCCGAGATGGCAGGCCACTGGTGAAGAGAGTGTGTAGCAGTTCTCAGGAGCGAAAAGAAAAAATACTATGATAAGAAGATCGATAGCAATAAAAATAATTCTAAAATGATGTGGAAAACATTAAAGAATATTGTTTCTTCTAATAGAAAGACTGAATTATCTAAAATGCGTTTCGAAGATCGGGTAGTGTCAGACAAATTAATTATAACGGAAAGAATGAACACTTTTTTTATAGAAAGTATAAATCAAATACGAAGACGATTGATGACGGTGATCCAAACTTATGTCCATTACAAGTATGTCAGAATTCATCAGTGAAGTAATTTAGGACGAATTAACATCAACAATCTAAGAAAAGCTATCTCAAAATTGAAATCTAATAAAAATCCAAGTGAGAATCTCTCAAAAAATATTCTAAATGACTGTTTCAATATAACTGGAGAGATTATTATTATTGGTGAATCATTGTTTAGTACATGGGAACTCCCATCAAAATTAAAGTGTTCCACCATTACTCCTATGCCAAAAGTTCAAAATTCTCAGCTGTATACAAATATGCGACCGATTAATGTCTTGCCCGATGTCGAGAAGCTGTTCGAAGAGATAATATACGAACAAATCATAAGATTCATTGAAGAAACCAACATTTTGATAAAAAATCAGACTAGATTTAGAAAAATATATTCCACAGAAACGGCAATCCAAATGGTGGTGGAAGACTGGAGAAGAAGTATAGATGAGAAAGAATATATTGTAACAATATTTTTTTACTTTAAAAGAGCATTTGAGACTTTGGATAGGGAAAAATTGTTAATGAAATTGCGTCACTATGGCTTTAAAGGATCAGTATTACACATTTTACAAAATTATTTAGTAAATACAAGTAAAAAAACTAAAGTTGGAAATATTATGTCACGTGTTCAAAATATATCAGTAGGGCTGCCACAACAGGGGAGTAAATTAGGGCCGTTACTATTTATTATTTATATAAATGATATCTCTGACATTTTAGAACACTGCAAAATTCAAAAATGTGCGGACGATAGATTTATATATATATAGCACATAAGCATTTGGACACTGCTTTAGAAGTGTTAAATAGTGATATTAAAAAAATTATGAATTGGTTAAATGTCAATAAACTTAAATTAAACACTAATAAAACAAAATGTATGTCAATAGGGAAACATTTAGGTGACATGATTAAAGATGAAAAAATTGAAGTAGTCGAGTCATTTAACTATCTTGGTATATATGTGGATAGTAAGCTGCTGTTTCACGAACATTACACATTATTTCAAAAATATGGAAAAAGATAAATTACTTCTAAAGAGTTTCCCATAATCTTAGTATGTATTCCAAAAATATTGTGTATAACACTATAATTCTTCCCCATTTTTTATATTGTACAACCATCTTGTTTACAGCAAATGAAAACATATTTTCAAAATTACAAATTCTACAAAATAAAGCTATGAGAATCATTTTAAATAAAAACAAGTATACTAGGATTAAGTCTAGGATAGAAGAACTGCAGTGGTTGGATGTGAAAAATTTCATATATTGTTTAGTTCTCGTTTTCATATTCAAATTAATAAATCATTTATTACCACCACATTTAGAGAACTTCACAAAATTAAATAGTCATTATCATAACTATGAAACTAGAGGCAGTATAGATTTTCATCTGCAAAATTGAAATAGCAGCATAACTAGTAAATCTATATTTCACAAGGGAGTATTTGAATTTAATAAATTGAATGATGATATTAAACAGTATTCGAATTTAAAAATGTTTAAGGTGAAATTAAAAAATCACTTTATGAATAATCAAGCATGTAAAATCACAGAAAATGGATTGAAGAAAAATATGTAACCGAATCATTATACAAAATTGACATTGTAGCATTAATGCTAAATAAATCTTCAACAACCACAAAAGGTAGATGACAGGATGCAGGTGATGGGTGACACTGCATTCATGGTCGGACCACCGCGTTGTCCTCCGCCACATATCTCAAGTATGAAAAATGGCATCAAGTAGGTTGACTCTTCATTTCTAATGCAACGCCGTTATCGATTCATAAAGGATCACGAGGTCTGCAAATTAAGTCAAGAGGCTTTTTTTATTTTTTTATACACATATGATGAGTGACAGAAGTGTTACACCCAGAAAACATAATTTTTTCAACTTGTTTTTTGGCAACATAATGACTATATTTAAACCATTTTGTGGCAACATTGTCAACTCTTGAGTAGCTTATAAAGTGTATAAGTATTGCTAAAACATATTTCACGAATGAACTTTTTTTTTTTTAGACTGACGGTGCTTCCGCCTGCATTGTCACGACAGAAGAAAAGGCAAAACAGTTAGGCTACAAACCCAAAGCTTACTTGAGGCATTTCACATATGTGTCTCAAGATCCTGTTGATCAATTGTTGCTAGGACCTGCATACGGCACGCCTCTTATTTTAGAAAAAGCTGGATTGACGCCCAAGGATATCGATGTGTGGGAGTTCCATGAAGCTTTTGCGGTAAGTACATTAGGTCATGATTCCACCAAATTTAAGTCAGTTAGTTTAGGCTAGTCCTAGTTATAGCCCATAATCCAACATCACCTGCCGCAATCTTTATGTGCATTTCACTCACGTGTCGCAAAGCTTTGTAGGTTTATTACTTCGTGGTTTATTAATATTTCTGCTTGCAACAAGTCTGAACTGTCAAAACTGGAGTTGTTCACAGTCATGATGACAGCAACAGAGATATGTCACAATGGACGTAAGTCGATGATAAAATCACGAATCAGAAAAAACAAAAACAAATTAATATTATGATTTTGCGAAGTTAGGTTAATTCACTGATCATTTTTATTTTCATTTTATTTCATGGTTTGAGTGATACCTTAATAATAATTTTAGTGTGGAGTTTTTGTTTTGGAAAAAACTGTTATGAGTAGAATACCTTAAGATAGGAACACCAAAGACCAAAGTATTATCCGAAAACAACCTAACCTGCTTTAACATAACCTAACTATTCATCTTTCAAATATGATCGATCATGCAACATGAAAACATCGTCCATCTTTGTCGGATACATGCAAATTAGCAATACAGTTTGTTTAGACAACAAAATTCTATTTGTCTCTGTCTAACATATTCAGAGACTTCATTAAAAATATTCACAAATCGCTGTCGTTTGTCTTTACTACAGACTAAAATGATGACGTAATCGTCATCGTTCGTGATTTCGAATATATAGTCTTCAGCTTCAGCGCGACTATAGCTGTATCTTGCTCTGTTTTTCGTAGGGCCAAATCATCGCGAACTTCAAGGCGTTGGACAGCACCTCGTTCGCGCAACGTTACATGAACAGACAAGATAAGATCGGCGCTCCCGACATCAATAAATTCAACAACTGGGGCGGGTCATTGTCCTTGGGGCACCCGTTCGCGGCGACCGGAGTCCGACTGGCTATGCATACTGCGAACAGGCTGGTCAGGGAAGACGGACAGTTTGGGTTGATTGCTGCCTGTGCTGCTGGTGGACAGGTAATCCATCGGAACTGATCGTCTATATTCATATATGTGTATTCTTTTTGTGACATTGTTCCACATTCGGATTTCATTAATTTTTGATTTTTTTGCGAATGATCTCCCCGAACAGACAAAAACAGGAATAGTAGTGAAGTTTGCAGATGGTGCATCTGTAATAGGGTATGGGGAATCAGTAATATGTCTGAGATGGAGTTTTGTCGTAGTGGACAAAGATTAAACCCAAGTACACTTTGCCACTGTCAAACATGGAGGCGAGTCTGTTATGGTTTGGGGGTGCTGTTCGGGGTTTGGGATGGGACCTTTATGGAAGACAATATGCCCTTAAGATCAATCTTCCAGCAAGATAATGACCCGAAGCACACTTCAAATCTCGCACAGAAATTCTTTCTATATGAAAAAATACCAGTTCTCAAATGGCCTTCACAGTCTCCCGATATAAACTCCATTGAAAATCTATGGAAATACTTAGATAAGCAAATACGAGATAAAAATTATTCAAACAAGGATGAACTTTTTGCCGCTTTAGAGCAAAAGTGGAGACAGATTGATGAATCTTATATCAAGAAACTTCTATAATCTATGCCGAGACGATGCCAGGCGGAGATTAATAATAATGGTTATGCCACAAAATATTAACACAAATATGGTTGGTTTAATATAATTCAATGAACTTTGCTTCTTTTTTCTATAATTGTTTTGCTTTGTCTACATTTTTTTGTCCTTCATAGTTCCAGTCTAATGAATTTATTTATATATAAGTGAGTTAATACTGCTATAACGAATTATGTATACAGGTTGGTGGATTAATAAGTTAAAAAAGAAATACAGCACAATACTAATTTGTCTATATACTTTTGTCCATTACTGTATATTTCCAATCCAGTGTAAAGCTTTTAGGTACTTTCTAAGAGTCTGATCTCATGTTTACCAGTCACATAAATCATTTCTGCAAAAACTGAACAAGGTGTAACCTCTCCTAAGGATGGTCTTTTGAGGAGTCTCAAAAATTAGATGGTGTCTGTTTTCTGAATCAATTCATTATTTAAATTTATAAAATGAAGGTAACATTAAGCAATTGTTGTCAGACCATTCTTTGATTGATTGTATATCACTATCAATTTTTGTCTTAATTTAATTTATATCTGTGACTTGCCAGTATTGGTATAGTCAGCAAAAAATACGAATTTACCATTTAGTTGGAATTTATTAAATCATTGATATTGACTAAGAATAAGATCGGACCTAATACTGATCCTTGAGGAACCCCTGCGTTTATATTAAATTTCATAATTTTATAATTTGGGATCATAATACCAATTTTTAATTACATATCCATTTGTTACATATTAGGGTTCTTTATTCCCTATTTGAAAGAGACGAAAATATGTAATGTGATGTTCACGACTATATCATACTTATTACCTTTTCTGTATTTTCTAGGGCGTTGCTATGATCCTGGAAAGGCACCCAGATGCTCATCCCAACTAGGTATATTTCAAAGGTGTATTTATATGTAATTAATAATGTTTGTATTGAAAACGAAAAAGTGCTAGATTGAGTATTTTGACATTGCTGATAATAATTCATAAATGGTATTCCATTCATCGTTCGTGATTTGTTTTTCAACATTGAATACGGACAAATAACTGAACCAACTACGGTGATTATTGCAATTTTTTCACTCAACATGTTCACTGAAAATCACTGTCAGCATTTCACATAAAGTATAAAATCTAGCCTAATATCAGAACTGTTTTTTTTTAACTTTTGTTTCTGGTACATATAGCTTTTTAAGTATATATATTATATTGTTAGTGTCTTTTTTATAATATAAAGAAAATATGTAAATATTTTTATAATAAAGTAGCCGTAAATTGATAAATGGCGACTGTAAAGTATAAATAAATTATTGATTGATTTTTTGTTTATTTATTTGTGATGCTCCACCCGTTTATTATCACTTGATAGACGAAATAAATTGCTAATCATACGAAGTTGTACGTTTTATAAAATAAACTGAAAAAAAAATGGTGTCAAGTAAGTTGACTAGGTTACTTCCTCTAACCATTAACTAGTGATTAACATATTCTATCAGAATATACCCAATCCAATTAAGAGCTGTGCCTGCATAGAAGCGAAAATGCGTTTCGTAGCGCCGCCAAACTCTTATTCTTATCATTATGTCCATCCCATGTTGACCACTGTCTCTGGGTGTCAGCGTTGCCACCTCTCGCGGACTGTTTCTGCACAACACAATTTTCTTTCAGAAGGAAAATCCAGTTTGTTTTTTGTATGATAAGGTAAATGGTTTAGTCATCTCAGAGAGTATGATATTCAATGGTTGTACCTACGGAGAATTAAAACAAAAATTTCAAGCCCAAAACAGAGAGTGATAAACGCATCAAAAAATCTTCCTGCATGGGGGCTTGATCAGTTTCCCTTCATACGAAATTGTTAATGATACGCCACTGGAGAATAGAAATGTCATTCTTGAAGAACAGCTACTATTAACATATTCTATCAGAATATACCCAATCCAATTAAGAGCTGTGCCTGCATAGAACCGAACATGCGTTTCGTAGCGCCGCCAAACTCTTATTCTTATCATTATGTCCATCCCATGTTGACCACTGTCTCTGGGTGTCAGCGTTGCCACCTCTCGCGGACTGTTTCTGCACAACACAATTTTCTTTCAGAAGGAAAATCCAGTTTGTTTTTTGTATGATAAGGTAAATGGTTTAGTCACCTCAGAGAATATGATATTCAATGGTTGTACCTACGAGGAATTAAAACAAAATTTCAAGCCCAAAACAGAGAGTGATAAACGCATCAAAAAAATCTTCCTGGAGGGGGGCTTAAGCAGTTTCCCTTCATACGAAATTATTAATGATACGCCACTGGAGAATAGAAATGTCATTCTTGAAGAACAGCTACTAGATGGCGCATCTAACGCCACGTCCTAAATCTAATTAGACTTTTTTTATAATTATAAGAATACTCTTGATGGTCTGAATGTTATAATATGGTGTATTAAAAACAATGTATATCATTGAGAAATTATATGACAAGTTCCTTTTCAATTTTATCTCTCTTAGTACTTTCACATTTCTCCTTTTCAAACAGGAGCTGCGAAATGTCACTGGATGACATATAATCTGTGTTACCGACTTTTTATAACAATGAAAGTAAAACCAATTTTTCAGGGTGGGGTTTATAATATTCTATTAAACACATATTTTTCAGTGTTATTTTAGTTTTTTTGGTTTAGTTATATTTGTGTTAATTGTTGTAATGTGTAAAATAGTGAGAATAGCAAATTATCGACTGAGTAAATCAAATTTGAGGTTAACAGTGTATTATCATTTGTGACAGATCCCAATCCATGTCGTTTTTTGTAATAATTTTGTTATAAATTCATAAAGCTAGGACATTTTAATGTAATTGATAATACAGTTAGTTAGTAAATGCGGATACATGTGAACTGTTTTTAAAAAAATGTGCTTCTCCTGATGTATGGATAACAAAAAGTGATACAAGGGAATTAAAAAACGGCGGCCATTTTATTAACAGGCAGTAATTCGTAAGTTTTTCCTTTGATTTTTTGACAATAATCTTTCGCAAAAAACTACACTAAATTGCTTTTACACTTGAATTATGTAGTTCTTCATAACTTCATTATTGTTTTGTAGTGATCTCATTGATAAACTTTGGTCTGTGGTACCTAGTATTGTGATATTTTGTATTGAAGTATTTTGCATTTTGTAGAAAAAATTATGCTCCACCTCCAGCAGTCTATAGTTGCCTATTAAAAATTGACCCTTGTCGATTTGCCCCTTTAAGTGGTAGACCAAATGCAAAGTATCTCTTGAAACAGGAAAGCAATGGTTCTAGTTTTGTAATTAGGTGGACCACCAAATGCAAAATTTCTCAAGGTGTGGTTTTTACAAAATGAGAATTTTTTTTTAAAATTTAATGCCTGCATGTTTCTGAAGCTGGAGTTATTGAAAGGTCAAAAAGCTGACCTCCTGTAAAAAACTGGTGACTTCCATTAGTGTTTTTTTTTTGAAAAGCTATACTGTGTTACACATAATATTTTCCAGGTTATTAACACTGCAATTTAAACAAAATTAAACATAATTGTTATGGTAAAACAGTAGAAAAAATATCTGTGTGTCTAACAATTCTATTAGGTATTCATACTGCTTTGGTTTAGTCACATTAAAAACAATAATTTGAATAGTGTATAACACTATTATTCTATACAGGGTTATCCAAATTAAGTGTCCACCATTGGTAACTTTGTTATTAGTAAAAATACAAAGTTGTTTAAATTAGCAAACTAGAAGCATTTTTGACGCTGGTAAAAATGAGAAATAAAAAAAAACAATTGAGAGTCGTTATTTTGATTTTTTTCAGTAAAATAACATTTTTTTAAATGGAAACCCCTGTATATTATATTTTTTTCTGTTAAAGCATCAAATTTTAAACAAAAAAGTTCATAATGACTTTTCCGCTAAAGTCAAAAATAAAGTCAAAATAACGATAAATATTTTTAATTATTTGCAGTATTATAATATTAAGACGGCTATGAAAACAACATGGCGTTCGCGATTTGACAGCATTAAGATAAGCGACAAATTGTTAAACTGGACATACTCGCAACTAGAAGGCTTTGGAAAACAATGATAATCAAATAATGTCAAACATTAGTGTAAATACTTGTTTATAAGCTTTATTATGTCATTAATTTAAAGAAAAATGTTCTCCCATGAAGAAAAGTGTGATATGTTAGAATGCTATTTAGTGTGCAGAAAATCCTCCTTGAGAGCAAGAGAATACTACAGTGAATTATATTCCGCTCGCATTCAACCGTATGAACGATATTTTCTGAGACTTTATCGAAAATTTAGGGGCAACGAAAATGTTTTTGCTAAAACAAGGGCAAAAAAAGAATTCATAATAAGCGAGGCCACGGAAATTGCAGTTATTGGATATTTTGAAGCTTATCGTGAGAAATCAATAGCAGATATTCTCAAGGACTCTAATTTCAGTTATGGTACTGTTCAAAGGATTTTAAAAAAATACAAATTTATTCCGTATAAGTACCGACCAGTTCAAACGCTTTTGGCAGGGGATCCAGAGAGAAGACTTGTTTTTTGCCATTGGTATCTTAGCTTCTGTCGCCAAAATGTAAATAACTTTCGTTACCTTTTATGGACAGATGAATCAAATCTTTCAAATTCTGGAATGTTTAATAGAAAAAACCACCATTATTGGTCAAGAGAAAATCTTTTGTTAGTACATCCAAGAGGCCCACAAGTCCGTTTCAGTTTCAACGTTTGGTGCGGTATAATTGGTTCAAAAATTGTTGGCCCGTTCTTTTATGAGGGAACCCTAACTGGTGAAAGATATGTGGAATTTATGTCAGAAATTCTGACTAATTTCTTAGACGAATTGGATCTTATAAGTAGACATCATCTGCATTTTCAGCAAGATGGCGCACCTGCCCACAACTCCAGAAGTACTTCATTTTCTAAGTACTACTTTTAATGATCAGTGGATAGGAACAAATGGCCCAATACAGTGGCCTCCCAGATCACCAGATCTAAACCCACTTGATTACTTCTTGTGGGGTTACTTAAAGAACCAAATTTACAAGCGAAGGTACGATAACCTTGACGCGTTAAAGACTGCAGTTAGGGAAAAGATAACCCAGATAGATGGTAGGACCATACTTAAGACAGTTCGAGCAGTTGAAAAACGTGCCCAAAAATGTATTGAAGAACAAGGTGGTGTTTTCGAGCATCTTCTTTAAAAAAAATTGTTATTGTATTTTGTAAGATTATAAGTTGATGTTGAAAATAAAGTTTGTCGATACAATTTAATTGTTTCAGATTGGAGGCCATAACTTCAACAATTTGTAACCTAGGAGAAAAGTTATTGTGAGCTTTTTTGTTTAAAATTTGATGCTTTAACAGAAAAAATATAATATACAGGGGTTTCCATTTAAAAAAATGTTATTTTACTGAAAAAAATCAAAATAACGACTCTCAATTGTTTTTTTTATTTCTCATTTTTACCAGCGTCAAAAATGCTACTAGTTTGCTAATTCAAACAACTTTGTATTTTCACTAATAACAAAGTTACTAATGGTGGACACTTAATTTGGATAACCCTGTATAATATGGGCTTATCAACTATTTATTGTAGAGAATTGAGGATGAGAAATTATTTTTAGGAAACTGAACTCTACAAATAAATGAAATATGCACCCTATCAGATGCACAACTACATTAATGAGCAGTAAACTTTTATGTTACATTGAAATTTTATACTTTATTTATGCAGAACATTCTAAATTTTTTTTTCAAGTTACCTTATGAAATATGTTTCAAGCATTAAAAATCAGAGGTAGCATAAATCTGTATATCCTAAAATATATATGTTGCTTTAGCACTTTAAAATTAAGTGATAATTTTAAAGTGTTTGATTGAAACTATAATTAAATATATTCTCATATGTTATCTATGAGCAAATTTAATTTCTTTCAATGAACAATAAATACAGTGAAAGCTCTCCTTGCGGACAGCTCCTATAAGCGGACATCTCTTTTAACCGGACAAAGTTCCTGGAACCGAATTTCAGCCATCAATTTTCAATGTTAAATGCATTCCGATAAACGGACGCTCTTATAAACGGACGCGGACACTAGATTTTCCTGTATGTGATCAAAAAATCTCCCATAAGCGGAAGCGAAACTCTAATACCCAGACGATTTTTTAGTTCCGCTTATTGCAATGCACATATCTACATACATAAAATTCAGTAATTCCCCGATTTATATTAGGTGATTCCCCATTTACGCATTTCGTTGGGTAGCCTGTATGTAATATTGTGGCTTGTCTTCAGTTCAGGCAAATTCGTAGTTGATTGAGTTACGTATTTTATTATTGCAACTGTAAAATGGCACCAAAAAAAAGGATGCTCTCGTTAAAGGAAAAGATGGAAGTTGTTAACGTATTAGACAGAGAAAGTGGTTCAGTTCGTCATTTGGCAAAGAGGTTTAATATTGGGAAAACGCAAGCAGCTGAAATTGCCAAAAATAAGGAAGATATCAGGAGTAAATGGCAACCAGGAACTAATATAAATCAAAAGAAGGATTTTTTAAAAAAGGAAGGTTTTGCTATAGACAAAACATGTTTTGAGTGGTTTGTGAAAGCTAGAAGTCAGAACATTCCAATCTCAGGGCCGTTAGTGAAAATGAAAGCTAAAGAAATCGCCACTACTTTGGGCTATAATAATTTCAGTGCGTCCGACGGGTGGCTGCAAAAGTGGCGCAAGAGACATAGTGTGAGTTTCAAATGCATATCTGGCGAAGCTGCTGCAGTAGATCAAGTTGATGTGTCACAATTTTTGGAGAAACTTCCGTCCATGTTGCTTGGCTACAAACCAGAAGATGTGTACAACGCAGATGAGAGTGGACTTTTTTTTCGCGCATTGCCCGACAAAACTCTGTCCTTTAAAGGAGAAACATGTGTGGGTGGAAAGTTGTCTAAAGATAGACTAACCATTTTATTCTGTGCAAATATGGCCGGTGAAAAATGCGATTTGATTGTGATCGGGAAAGCGGCTCGTCCTCGTGCTTTAAAAAACGTTGCTATTAAGGATCTACCAGCGACTTGGAAATCCAACAAAAAGGCATGGATGACCCGAGAAATCATGTCTGAGTGGTTAGTCGAATTCGACCGGAAAATGAGAATCCAAAAAAGGCAAGTTCTTTTATTTTTAGACAATGCATGCTCTCATCCTCGTGATATGAAAATGAAAAATGTGAAAATTATATTTTTACCGCCAAACACAACTTCTGTTTGTCAGCCCATGGATCAAGGTGTCATACAGAACTTTAAATTTTATTATCAGCACTTGATTTTAAAACATATTTTAACAAAAATTGACGATGGTCAAAGCTTATCTGAGCTTACAAAGTCTATCAATGTGTTAGAAGCTTTGTATTTTATAAAAACAGCATGGAATAAAGTAAATTCCTCTACAATTAAAAACTGTTTTGGCAAAGCTTGATTCAGAAAAAGTGAATGTAGCTCAGAATTTGCTGAGCAAAATTATTGCGATGCTGAAGGAGATCTGCCCTTAGCGACACTTGCTCAGTTACTGCGACATGCCAAACATTTAGGAGTAGCAGATCCCCAGAAAGTAGATGATTTCCTGGCCATAGACAATAACATAACAACAGAAGAAAATGCCATTGGCAACTTTTCGAATTTGGATGTAGAAAGCCCAGGCCAACTTGAATATGGTAGTCCAAACGACTCAGAAGAAGAAGTGGAACTGGTGGACTCACTAAGCGGTTCAAAAACGATAAATTCATATGGGGAAGCTCTAAATCATATTTCTATATTGAAAAAATTTGCTAAAGATGATTTCACTGCATTTCAACATTTGAAAAATTTAGAAAGTTATTACGAAAATTGTCTCCTTCAGCAAAAGATGGTGAAATTTCGTCAGACAAACATTTTAAACTTTTTTCAACAAGCTAAAGAATAATGTTTTTTTTAAATTCTC